TTTAGCTTTTATGGTTTCAATAGATTAAAAAATGCATTCCAACAATTTAGTCCGGGAGCCAGCGACATTTTTTAGTGACCAAAAGTACAAAAGCTGAAAATTTGTCCTAAGCTTTACTTGGCATCGCTAGTAAGTGAATGGACCACCAGCTGGCGCACTTCCGGGGGGTGTAGCTGCGGCAGCCTCCCACACACGTAAAATAACAATAAAAAAAAAACTAATACCGCAAAAGCTGAAATTTTGTTAATATGTTTATTATGTTATAAATAAATGAAAAAACGTGTCCAGCCGAATTTAGAGTGGGGGATTATGCTCCAGCTTTTCACGTAAAGAAGTGAAAAATATGCGCTGAGTAAACTGATACTACAAAAGCTGAAATTTTGTAAACTAATAGTTAAATTAATAACTTAAACGAAAAAAACATCCAGCTTCAAATTTAGTGGGGGAAAAGTGTCCAGCTGATGCAGTGAAGGATGCTGCGCACGGGTATGCGCTCGGGCGCGTCGTATCTTTGACTGCATCGGCTGGACACTTTTCCCTCACTAAATATAAAGCTGGATATTTTTTTCGTTTAACTTATTTAGTCAACTATTGTATTACCAAATTTCAGCTCTTGCGGTATCAGATAACTATACTTTTCTCATTAAACACAGCGTGCCGTCCATGCAGTTATTGGATGATAGATACGTATAACTTTTCTGCTCTAAAGGAGGATAATAAAAAGTAGGTTTACTATTAATTACTTAAAAATGTATTATTTATTTACAAAAAGCATACTAAAATTCAAAATAAATATACATAGTGTGCTAATACGTGAATAGCTAATATTTTAAATTTCGCTTTCTTCGGATTCATCGCCATCGTACTCATTATCGCTGTCATTATCACTGACAGCGATGTCGACCCGTGAAAGATCTTCGTCAGGATCTGTAAACATATATAATAATAATTTATTAAAAGATATAGATGATAATAGTATATAAACATTTAACACGCAAGAGCAAAATTTTAATTCAAATCTGATTATAAATTACAAAAAAAAGGTGACATGCTATCCAAAATTGTTACAAATATAACTCAGTTTTATTTTTAAATTAAAATTGTATGATAAAATTAAACAGAAAATAATCAAAAATTGAAACTGACAAATAATGAAATGAGAGAAAAATATATCAGTATTATTCTAACCTTCAGTACTTTTTTGGTCCTCGCCATCATCGATAGTTATATCACCAAGGGTAGCGGGTAGCTGGTCACCCTCGAACCATTTAAAATTGAATTTTCCCTCATCTTCTTCCCATCCAAAATCAGTCGGATGTAATGCCGTTGGAACCTGAAGATGAGCATGTGCCCAAATATTTGCTATGTATGTTGTCCGCAGCAAATGTTGGTGCAGCTCAATTTTGCAGGGAGGCAGAGCTGATCCGTCGATATTATTCTTCGGTAACCGGAATATGTCATCGTTTTGTAAAACCTTGTACGTCTTCAAAAATGTTGCAACTCGTGCTTCATTGACTTTGTTGATTTTTTTGAATCCATACATACGACAAACATATTCTTCTATAATATCAAACGTATTCTGCAACTCGTCGTCAGGTGCGTTGCTTAGTTTGATAAAACTATCGATAAAACGTTCTGAGTTTTGTAAAATTTTATACGGCCGGCTTTTTCCTTTCTTGAAAAATGACGGATTATAGTCGCAACCCGTCAATGCATGGAAAGCCGGCAGCGTCCTCGTTTGTAGCGAAATGCTCGCCTTCCACAGCACTATCGTGAATAAAAAAAATAATGAATAATGCATAATAGAAAAGAGTACGACTAAAAATATTAAAAAGACGCAAACGCTATGCGAAAAATATAAGTAAATACATTTTGCACAGCACAATTACACGCTAGCTATATAGCTATCTAGCTATATAGCTATCTAGCTATATAGCCAACGAATATAGACTGCGTATAGAAGAACACTCTGCATTGGCGCCAGGGTCACACTTTGAAATACATGTAGAGCCTATACTACACTATAGATGTGTACCAGGACTATACAGGAGAAACCTATAACGCACTATACCTGTGTACCAAGATTTCGTCCCTCGGTTTTAACCCGTGACTTTTCTTCTACACTCTAAAAAGTGCATGTAAAACTACTACTGAAAAGTGTTTATTTTTCAACCAGAACCTGTGTAAATATACGCACAAGATGTTCAAGATTTGTTTTTGAACATGAGGTGTTTAAAAAATACACAAAAATATACCCATGAAATGTTTAAAATTGTAAAAAATTTTGAAGTAAAAATATATTTTTTACTAATAATAAACACTAAGTGCTCATATTTACTCAATTTTAAACACTTTGTATGTAATTTTTCTCTACGTGACAAATTTTACATGTAAAAGTAAACATACAGTGTTTAATTTTGCACACATTAGGAGACGAAACTGGTTACCTCTCTTTATATGCGTAAATTTAAACAAACATTTTTTAGAGCAAATTTTAAACATTTTATGTGTAAACTGTGAAAATGTGAACAATAAATGTTTAGAACTCAACAAACAAATTTGAAATTTGTTCTACGCCACACATATGATAAGTAAAAGTAAACAAGCAGTGTTTAATTTAATTAACACGGTGTGTAAATTTGCATTCATTTAGAGAGGAAACTGGTTACCTATCTTAATATGCGCAAATTTAAACAAAATTTTTTTAGAGTGTATAAGAAGTCTATATTCGTTGATATAGCTGTATAGCTATATAGCTAGGTATATACCAAAAGTATATATTTCATTAAAAAATACTATTTGCAACAAAAATATAAGTACTTACTCTGTACTTGAAGATGAAGATGCCTGCTTTTTGGGATCATATCCTCGTTGTTTAGGCGGTAATGCTGTAAAACGGTTATGGCACTGGCTGTGGTATCTTTGAAAATTGTTCGGCTGTTCCGGCAACACAACGTTGGAGAAAGTCAAATCACCGTCTTTCCGAATTTTTAATATCGATAAACACTTATTTAATTTGGCCGCATCAAAAAGATGTAATTTTCCGCTTTTTTTGGAGCAATATACACAAAAGGGATGTACGTTAGACATTGTGGCAGCTCCGATTTGAACAAGTTCAACGGTCGCACTGGATAGCTTGGCGTCACTCTGGCAAATTCGGAGCAGAGCGGGAGAGACAAAGACAGAGCATCCAAATTTTAGTAGGAGAGGGGATAGAGCCGGTTCACAGCTGTTCATCTGCTCGAATTCTATGCCGAATCTGAGGACGGTGTGGTGGGGAGAAAGGAGCCTTGAAATATTAGATACAATAGACTCACCGCCGTGCGGTCCGCTTCTAGAAGTTTCGGTCGCTTGGGCTATAATATTCGGTAAAACTGCCATAGTCAATCTTGGCTCAGTATTATGCAAAGTGGCTTTCTATATATTTACTATTGGCACTCTTATGTCCGCATATTTACTTTTTATGTTATGTATACATATTTAAATGTGTAAATATTTACTTTAAAT